CATAAAGGGCGTCTAAATTTGAATAACAATATCTCTACATCATTAGCCTCACATTCATGTGAATAATCCTGAACATGAATACGAAGCTAAGGATGTACAAGGTATTGTTACTCAAATTTAGGCGCCATTTATACAAAGGGTCTACTGCCAATGGAAAGGAATTTCTCCTGCGTAGCAAAGTTAAATATACTAAGTTTGAAATCGCTGCTTTGCATGCGTTGTTATTATCACGCATCAGTTATATCTGGCATCCACTCTTCATCTCGCTCTTTAATTTTGAAGCATTCACCTGTTTAATTAAAGAAGTCAATATTGAATACTAAAAGTAATTTCACCGTATAGGCCGAATTTAAAGATAATCAATAATTGAAGAACTCAAGTAGATAATAGAGATGGTTTGAAACTTCAAGACTCCACAGACAGAGAAAAATACGCCACTGTATTGCTTTTGAATGTAATCATTTTGTTTCTGTAATTTATCAGGCACATGCGAAATAACTTCTCGTTTGTATAAGATCTTCATCGTAACTATAACAGAATTCTTTTTCATTCCATATAAACTAGTTTCATTTCCTACGATAGAGTCTATCACCCTAATAGCCTTTCCTCAAGGGTAAACGATCCACATTTAATAGGCTTTTAGCTTTACTTTAATAATCATCATTCGTCTCTGCAAGGGGTCAGTTATTTGTCAAAGAAGACATTTAATTTTGTAAATTAGAGAAAGCTGTAGTTTTTTTCCACAATCCCCTGATATTTAGAAATGAAACGAACTATAACTCAAAGCAACNAGGCCCAAAAACAGTTGACTGAATACATGCAAAACTATGAAACTGGCTTTAGTAGGTTATTGTATATAACATATTGTAAGTTAGGCACCGAATTGTAATTTATTATTAGCGAAATGTCGCAAAGACAGAACAAAAAATACAAAGAAACAAATGAAACTGACTTTAGGATTAAAGGAGGGAAATAAGCCTTTGTAAGTTTAGATAGGCGGTTTTTTTCCTGTTTCACAGCTAGCACAAGGAGTTATAAGCCAAGATATAATGACTAATAGAACCTTTGCATAACTGGCGCCTACATTTGAATAACAATGTGAGGCTCAGGGTGTGTAAGTTTTGTTATTCAAATATCGGCGCTATTTAGCATTTGCAAAAGGTTCTTGATCATTAACGAAAGAAATTAGAGGTTTACACGATGACCACCCGTCTTTTCAAAAAATATTTTGCTAAACTGGACATTAATGACACATGTTAGTTTTGTAACA